GGGGGCCGCCTGGACGCGCGCGCGGCCTTACTTTACAACCGCCGTTCGATCGTCCACTGAACACGTCCCTCGCCCCGTACCCTCTTTTTATTCCTCGTAAAGGGACGTGTTTTTCATTATCATAAGGTAGCCGGGGAGGTATCGTCGTAAAGTGTCTGAATTATTTCGACCCTCATCATTACGTACCTCTTTAAATCTCTGTGTTTCCCTCCCTGTTTCCCCGTCTTATTTACGCGAAGGGGCCCTCGATAAAAAAGAAAGAGAAAAGAAAATATATACTGGCCGCTCCTTCGAGAAACGATTAATAAATCGCGAACGAGAAAATTTCGTGGAACGGGGGGATTATTATTCTCTTATATAACTTATCCTGCCAATTAAACGCGGAGGAGATAGCCTCGTTCATAATAGACGAAAAAAGGTACGGAAGAAAGCTACTCTCGTATGTACTCACTTTCGCTCATCTTCGCTCGGCTGGTTATGTTAATTCCCGTGAAATTCGATGAAATTCTCCGCGTTCTAAGACTAGTAAGTCTCGTGCAATTAATCGTCGGTGGAGAATGGTTCATATTTAGACACCGGAAGAGGTGGAGGGAGCAAGAAGTTTGACTTCTTGGGAAGCGATTTAAGGCGCTCGAACGTACACTTTCCGCCGAATTGAAACGGGCTGTGAATAATTCACAAGAAGAGCTAGCTAAAGATCAATGGATGCCAATGGACTCGGTGAATCGAAAGGATTCGCCGATGCAAAGATTCGAGGAACTCGCGGGCTGAGTAGATGGATGGGTGGGTCTGTTTCTGGAGCGTGTGGGCCTCGATAGATGGGAACGCGTGCGTAACAAAAACGTATAACACGCGGCCGGATTCGTTTTTCAAAGGATCGCGCGGCTGTGGCGAGCCGCGATTGGCGAAACGGCCACGTCCTCGTGGTGATCCCGGCGACCTTGAAGCCGTGGCTACCATAACATCGGCGAACAGCCTCGCCTCTCATCCCTCCGCACTTCTTCTTCCAGACCTCCGGCCATAACATCGATATATTAGGCATCGTTCACAACGGGGACTCGCTCTTTCTCTCTCTCTCTTCGTTCTAAGTTTTTCTTTAAGGTTTCCTCTTCGAATCTTACATCACAGAAGAAATGTCACTCGCAAAGGATCACAATCCCAATTCCATCTCGAATGATTAAATTGCACGGATGAAAAGGGAAACACGAATGGAAAGAGCGAGGGAAGAATGGTAAAGTTTGCGGAAGAACGTTGAGCGACGGGTAAACGAAATTTCTTTGAACTCGAAAATGAACTAAACATTTGCTCGAATAATTCGACTGCCTATGGCAAAGGACAAGCTCTTCCTGCTTTATAAAACGCACACCTGGTTTGGACGTTTAATTACGTTGCACGAGCTTGCAGTACATACTTTTCCTGATACACGACTGTCCTGAATTAAAGCACGGCAGTATCGATTTGATATATTCACTGGAACATGGGTGTATAAGAACCCGTACGATTGTGTACTACATTTACGAGAATAATTCGTTGAATAATTCGATTAAAGAGATCAACGCGTTTTAAATAACGTGAATTTAAATATAGTTAAGCGATCCAACGAATTCCAAAATCACAAGAGGACAAATAACTCGGAGTATCTAGTCGAAAGAATTGTAAGAATCTGACGAAGAATTTAATAGAAAGGTAAGATTTTCGGAAAAGCAGGAAAGAAATGGTAAAGGATATCCAGAAAATATTCCCAAAGGCGACATTCCAGAAATGGAAGAATAGGTATCAAGTGGGACTAAAACGGCAAAAATGTAACCGGCGCAAAAATACTACGCGACGTGACACGCCAAGTGTATATAACTGATCGATCGTGACAAACCAGACGGGAGAACCCCTTGATCGAAGTGGCCTCCTCTTTCTCTCGCTCGAGAAGACTACTAACACTTGACCGCGCCGAGTCGATCGAGTGCAATCGAACTTTGTTCTTTCTTTCCTTATTGCGTGGACGACCGCATACAGACCGTCTAGGTGGCGGGGAAAAATGCCTCGTCGCGACGAGTGGGCAGAGAGGAACGCGTACATATAATACACGTATGCACGCTTGGTAAACCTTCCGACCGAAAGAGAGCAACGAGAAGGAAGAACAAACACGATCCGATCGGATGGATCTTTCATATGTATACGTATCCGAACGGTCTGATCGAAGTGGGTTAACGCGTAAAACGTTCAAGATGTGCGGCTAAAGAAAGTCGTAACTCAAAGGTGATCCGGCCACTCGTTATTATTCATGGAGATTGGAATTGGGTCAGGGAGTCTCGATCGATTACGTTCACGATCGGTCCTCGAAAGAGAATCGTCGATGGGATCGTGGTCAAAAAGAGAGATTTCGAATTCCTGAAACGGAATCTCCTCCAGGACCTCCCTCTCTTTTTCTCGTCTTCGATCTCGTTTCTTCGATCTCGCGAGATTTGCGCGTCTACTCTTAATCGCGTTGCGGTATATATGTATATATATATATGGGTCAGTGAGACGAATCGACATCTGCTTGTGCACTCCTCTTAT